CATAAAATTTTACTCTTTAAAGTACTTTAATCCTCATAATTTTTAGAAACAGTTTCTCTGTTAATGTTTTACAAGCATGTTGACTTTCAAAGTCGATAACAACATTGAACATTAATGAAATATCTATGAATTTTAAAATTTGCAGCAAAAATGAATGCAACACACAATATAAAATATTTTTTCTTGTAGTCGTCGTAAAGTTGTATCATTAAACTAAGTTTATCATAAATTTATATGTTTTCTTATTGTACACATTTAACATAACAGCGTTAGAACTGTTTGCATGGCGATTTCGTTATCGATAATCTCACATGCCTTACTTAAATGCCTTATAATTTTCTAATTACACCAAAGATGTGAAAATTTCATGATAACCCTATTTATTGATGTCGTAGGCTTCCGCGGCCAGAGTCATGATCTGGGCTGTCCGGGTGTCGGGATGTCGGTCGAAACGTCGGCACATCAGCCATCGACGCGGCGTCACTTGGACAGCCCAGATCATTACCCTATTTATTTTAACATAATTTTTTATTCTCTATTTTCTCTCTAAATATGGAATATTTTCTGAAATCGACATATACGTAGAAACCTCATCCACCTAACGCGTTTAATACGTTTTCTGCGAACATCTGTAACTTTAATACGGCGCTCATACGAGATGTTATAAAAATTGTATTGCGCGGAGGTAGCTTTATGCGTGGCACCTCGGAGGTATGATACCTGCGCGTTCCTTTTACTCGCTCTCGTGGAGGGGGAATTCAGCACACGGCTGCCAAGCGCGGCCAAGCTGCTCGCATCGCCGCATCTGGGCTTCCAGCCCGCAACTGCCCCGCATGCATGATTCACGTTCATTCCAGAGCCGGCGCTCATTCCTGATCCTCGCCCATCCCCATTTCTCCTCCATCCCTTCTCGCCTCCCATCTCCAATCCTCGTTCAGCCCCCCCCCGCCCCCCAGCCCTGGTCCGCGCCCGTCCCTGCTCGTTGTGATCCCCGCTGCCCGCCCCTCGCACATCCCTGCTCCACGCCCACTTCTGCGCCTTTACTGCTCCTTGCCAGTCCTACTTGATTCCCGTTTCTGTTCTATATCCATTGCCACTCCATTTATGCCACAGGCCCGTTCATACTCAATGTCCATTTTTTTCTCGTGCCATTCTTGCTCCATACCCATCCTCACTCCGCTTTTTCCTGCTCTATGCTCATTCCTGCTTGACGCCCATTCTCTCTTTACACCCATTCGGGATTATAATAATTCCAAGCTCATCTATGACAGAAGAGTAGTATTGCACTTCCTATTTTCAATTCTTTCTCGTAGCGAACTTCAGTTTCGTCGTACGAGGACATCACAAAAGGCAGCGTCGAAGCCATTTGCAAGTTAGCCAACTACAAACGAACGAATGGAAGAAGGAGAGTCAAATAGGCTAAAGGACTCACCGACAACATAACCTTCAGTTATGTTGCCAGCACTAACTGTCAAAACGGTCTATTCTTATAAAGATCGCTCTATAAGGGAAGCGAGATGCGAGAGGCGGGGTGTAGCGAAGCTTGGCGGGACGAAGCTGAGTGTGGCGAAACTGGGAGCAGCGAAGCTAGGGGGCGTGGGAGTGACGAATCTGGGGGTGACGTAAACTGAATGTGGCGAAGCTGGGTGTGGAAAGCGATGTGTGGTGTGTTGAAGTGTGGGATGACTTGGGGCCGCAGGATGAGGTGAGCCACGTTCCAGTAGTGACAGGAATGTGGGCTTGGCATGGACGGTAAGGCGGGATGTGTGATGAAATAATATGAGATGTGACGGATTATGCCTTGCAGCAGCAGCAGCAGCAGATCTTGGTGATGTAGGGGCAATAATGTCGGCCTGAGATGGACGGGAAACATGTGGGGCGGTGGATGGTGCGAGGATGTATGGTGAACGTGATGGTGTGACTATGGACGTGGTGACGCGTGTTGCGCTAGCAGCAATAGCGTGCGTGGGATGCACGCAAAGGCACTGGTTGATGTGTGGCGGAGCGGTGTTCGGTGTGACGGAGTGTGGGGTGGACGGCAGGTAGAGGCGTTACTGTGTGGGCGTGGAATGGTGCAGGGCGGTTATGAAGTGAGAGGTATAGTGGGGCGGGGATGGGATGATGATGGGAACGGGGAAGGGGAGAGGGACCGGCTGGGGTGGGCCGGAGCCGGATGGAACGGGATGGGACTGGGTGGGCCGGGGCAGGATGGGACGGGGCGTCAATGCGGCGCCACGCCGAAGTGGGCGGGCGAGGTGGGGCGGTACTTCGCGGTGCCGCGGTCTTCTCCGTGCCACTTAGGCAACTTGTGCGGCGCCGCGCGCGCGCCGGGTAATGGGATTCGCTGCCGCTCGCGCCGCCATTTCGCAGGGGTCGCCGTAACGACGTTAAAAAAAGTAGCGGTGGCGCTGGCGGCGCGGCGGCCGGACGAGCGGCGTATTTTCAAACTTTGCGCCCCCACGTTCGAGATTTACTTTGCCCCTCCGCTCCACCCGCCCCCGCCGCCGCCGCCGCTCGAGCATCCGCCTCCGCCTCCGGCGGCGCCGCTGATTCGCTACTTCCGGCGCGGCGAAGTGTGTGGCTTCCCGCTGCCTCTTTCGCATTCTCGTGGGCGCGTAGACCGCCTCCGCAACTGCTCAACGCTACGTGAATTGATTTCTCTGGATGCGTTTCTTATCTTTCAAAATTTGGCTGTCGAAAATGTGTTTCTCTTTATGCCATACTTCCAAATTTATTATTATTATTGTTATTATTATTATTATTATTATTATTATTATAAAAATTAAGATGCATTCAAACCCGAGCTCCATTATGTTAAAACCGAGGACTTACATGAATTTAAATGCACAGTAAATACCTCTTAGCCCTTCAGTAATCGTCACAGATTTTTGAAACATCAGTAGTGGCGGCGGTTAGGCCACACTTAGCCAAAAGTGGTTAATGGTATAATAGATAAGACAAACGAGCCTAGATGTGAGAGGAACATACTTACATAAGGTTGTGGAGTGTTAAATATATTTTATTGGAAAATTAATAACCTTACAAGAATTCTGTTTTAATAAAATATCTGGTAAAGTGTTTCAAACTTTATTAATTCTTTAACAAATTATACGAGGTTACAAAATAAACGAAAACGTTATATATGACCTTTTTACGCAATGCAATGACTTTACTTGCATATCCATTATTTTCCTTGTATAAACATTCCGAACAAAAGATGTGACGGGAGTAGTCGTGCTGGACTGGGAATGCGCAATCGCTGATGACTCCAATTTCGGGGCTTTCGGACTTTCAATACCCTGTGTTACCACGCTTTTTCATGTTGGGAGTTGCCCTTTGTGTCATGTCCTTGAATATAAGGCTGTTCATCCAAATGCCAGCGTATAACACACAGCGCTAGGAAAGTCTGGCCACACCGAGTCGAGTCAGGGCCTCCTACTAAAAGTTGCTTTTATGTTAGTAGCAACCAGATCACTGGGAAACAAGTGAATGCGATAACTCTTTCTGCTTAAAGTAATATCTAAAGTAAAAGTATTATGTGGTCAATATTTAATTCATTGATTCAACGGCATGAATATTTCAGCTGTTACGTCATTTGTCCTTTTGTCTGGCGCCACACCTATCTGACAGATTTGGTCTGGGGTTCTCATACTTTCAAAATCGTTGGTGGTTTAAGATTACGGCGATGGTCCAAATTAGTGAGGATGGTGGATCAGAGCAGCAGGTGTGAATTATTATGGAAGTAATGATATTTCCCATTTCATATGTGGTGACGTGTTATCCGAATCACGCCAAGAACCCATACTAAAATGCCCCGGGCTTCAATGGGAATCAAACATACAACTTTGGTCTCCGTGTTCTTGATGCTCCAAGTCCTTGAACAACCAATTCTGGACTCATGTGCTACTCGGGATAATACTTTCTTTACCAAATGAACGTGTCACCAAGTGCATTTCGACAGAAAAAGGAAAGCATCGGGTGCCGCCTGCATCCGGCAGCAGGGCCCGGTAGCCCACTGGCCCGCCTAACGCTCCTCAGCCGCCTCCGGAGCAAATATGCTGTTCAAGGGCGCCACTCCCACAAGCCGCCCTCGTTGAGGAGAGGGCGGGCGCCATGTTGGCTGCGTTAGAGCGCCGCCCGCCCCTGGCGGCTCCCCGGGGAACTGCCCCTCCGCCCGGGCCGCCGCTTTTACGCGTCCCCGGCGGCGACGGCGGCCAACGGCGCACAGTGGAGCCGAAATCTGGCCGAAATCCACGCCAGGTGGCTCAGGGCATTAACTGATAACACTCTAGTGCCTCTGACTGGAAGGTTGTAGGGGTCTAGTCTCGATGGTCAGGAACCCCTGCCTGGAGGAGAATTCTAGCGGTTGGCTGCTCTGATCGGGAGTTTCCCGTGATTTCTCCGATCAACGCCAGTCACATGCTGTAGCAGTACCCTAACAAACGGATTATGGACCGCGCGAGATCTTTCCTTTCTCTTCCTTACTTACACACACAATCTCATGCTCCACATTTGTCGGGCAACCAGTTGAGATCTTAGAGCTTAGTGAACATGCCCGCTAGCAGAAAGGCAGGTCGTCGCCGGATCTCGCCATCCAGCGGGGGAAGATTACCGCCACCTCTAGCGATAAAGCATGTACTACACTTACTGGAGTAAAGACCTTAGCAGTAGACGCGGTCGGAATCACTGCTCGTTTAATGAATCCACTCTGCGTGAAGAGCATACGACGAAGTAGCTCGCAGTGAAGAGATCGCTAAAACGGCGGGGGAGTGGCAATCTCGGGCAGAAGGGCAGCGGGTTCGAACGCTGCGGTCGCGTCGAGGCTCTCGCTCACGACGTGGGCAACTTCGTGAATTGTGGTTTGCGGACACTACCGTTTGTCACTTTGTAACATCATCACAACTTTCATGGCCTGTCCAAGTGACGTAGGAGCATGATACAACACGTGATGTACTTGGGATGCGCTGTTTCTTGGTATCTGATTACTCGCTGTTAAAACAATGCGAGGGCTCATGGCACCACATCACGTGGAGTACGGGTCCCCGGGCCGCAGCGAGTGCTACCTAGAAGGTGCAACCGTATGTCTTCCATTTCCATCTAACCGAACTGATCCTTGAAGACCTCGAGGACCTCGCCTGTAAGTCATAGCGAGAACGAACTGAGATAAGAAGCCCACCGACCATCTCAGGTGACGAAATGGAGGAACCTCACGATACTATGGTGTTCGCACCTGGAGGACCAGTCGGGTACAACCGGCAGTGACAGATGCAAACGATCAGGTATGCAGTAGTCCTTAGACAGGGTCTTAAGCGGTGGTTCCTTCAGAAACCGTGGACGGTGAGAGGTAATACGGATTAACATATTGGAATTGTACAATTTTGAAGGTTCGTGTACGGTTGAACTCTCTTTATTCAAAAGAGATTGAGTTAATTTTCTAGTAAAATAATGCCTTACGTAAATAAAAAAGTTTAATGGTTAAGGAGGATTAGGAAGGGCCCAGATATGTAGTAGGCTCCGTATTCTTTCAGACTGAACACGCCTATGACTATAATAAATTACTTGTTGAGTACAAATTCGTAAATGTCGACTTACAAATTGGCTTGAATGTTTCCCGGATTGGAGTGAACAAAATCTTACCTGATCGGGAGCGTTGTCGCGACCTCCCATCTCTTTGGCCAATCACTCTTGACTTACCAGGTATAGTGCGTTTCCTGAAAGTGCATACATCGTTTTATACCATATTAGAAATACATTCAATCATACTTAGGGTTATTTATGTGTATATTTACTGTACTATATTTACACAAATATGCGGACGTAATATAATGGCACAAGCTAAACACCAAAACAAAAACAGTGCTTTCCTCTTCTAATATTTCAGAGGTTTTGAAATATTATTATATAGTGAATACGTCTTGTGAGGTTCGGTTGTTGTTACCGTAAGTTCCGCACAAATGGACGCAGTGCATTTGGCGCAATGGGGAGGTTTCCTGGGCGCAGAGACGCGGTGTGGGACGAGTAAGCTTACGGGAAAACGGCGGAGCAAGGGAGCAATCATGTCGGTGATATTGGAGTGTGACGGGGATAGTTGAGGGAGGAGCAGGGACAGTGGAGATAACGCAGAGTGACGGCGTATTGTCGAGCGTGACGGGATAGTGGTGCGTGACGGGGATAGCGGAGCGTGGGGAAAATGACGCCACGAGCAGATGGGACCGGGCGTAGCGAAACGGGGCGTGGCAGGATTGGATAATTAACTATACGTACAAAGCACTCCTTTGCTCTCCAATAGATTATTGCAGTAAATAGCCTGACAACGCCGAATTACTTCAGCTCGCTAGTTATAAAGTAATTATTGTTAATGATTAATATACAAATATAAGTATATACAACATTTAACAGTGATTTATTTAGAACATATAATAATAATTAATATATTAATAATAATATAATAATTATAAATATTAGAATAAGAGACAACTCTTAGAGTATTTAATTTAAAGACGGTTGATTAGTGTGTAAGGGCACATCAACTCCTAAAGTCACTAGTCCGGTAAGTGTAGAGCATGTTTCTTCTCGGGAGATGGCAGTGATCTTGCTGCGCTGGATGGTGAGATCCCACCTATCATCGGCTAGCGAAGTTTTCTCTAACCAGGTACTTCCCACCAGCAAGGCACCACTCCAGCAGAAACAAGGTCTCGGCACCCGACCGGTCTCTCGGCATGTATTATGCATCTAAGTGTAAGTGTGTAGGTGAAGGGTGAGGAAAGGACAAGGCAGAGGAAGGAAAGATCGCACGCGGTCCGTGGCCTGCTTGTTTGGGTGCTGTCCCGGCATTCGCCTAGTGTTGATCGGAGACAACATGAAAAATGCCGATCAGACCAGCCGGCCATTAGAATTCTCCTCCAGACAGCGACTGAATTCTACCTAGCTATGTACACGGTACTGAAAATTCTTCCACCATCTGGACTCGAATCGAGGACCTCCCGGTCAGAGGCACCCGTTGATGCCCTGGGCCCATTCTCCCAGTAAATGTGAAGACGAACATCTGCTGTTCACACCGACCCTTCGTCGACACGACACTCATACGGAACAATAAACACGTTTTTATCCCCGATTTGCGCGCTCGCCACCACTGTGTCGCGTCGGCGCGGCAAAAGCGGCCGGGGGAGGGGGTGGATATTGGGGTGTCCATATCGGCGCCTTTACTGCGTGACGAAAATTTTTATGGCGGCTAAAAATGCGACTCGGTGCGCGCGCGCCTCCGCGCCGCTGCTCTCCAGCTGCAAGCCACTTTTTATGCCTCGGGCTGGGGGGTGGGGGGAGGGGGCAAACCGGCAATCGCTCCAGAACGCGTATTTTGATGCTTTTTTCCATTTTAAGTTTTTGACTCGGGCGATAAGGGAAATTGCGTGGTACGTTCACGTTTATTCGAGTTTATACACTCACTCCATGAGTAATATTTATGAGCGCCTCCTTCCTGATGGGTCCCAAGTAAGGGTAATGTTTTTTTCGTGCTGAGGGAGTATTGCGTTCTTAGCTTGATGGTGTTGTATTGCGTTATACGTTATATAAAATACGAAGTAGATTATGTTAATATGTGTACTACCGGATGACACTGAAATAATGATGTTTCGTATGCATTAAAACTAATTTTAAATCGACATTGAAAGAAGAATGTATAAAATCCTGCATAAACTCTTTTTGTTTGTGCAGCCATAACTTTCGCAAATGAACTTCCCTTTAAACAAGTTTACCTTTGCCCTAAATGATATATTCTTTCAATGCTTCGACGGGTATTTAAAGATACATGGTTCAGTGATTCATCTGATAACATGGTTCAGTGATTTCAAAATCAAATGAAGTATTGCATCAGCTCATAGTATTGTAAAGCTTTCTTCAGAAAAGGCTGCAGATTTCTTTTGTAACTACAATCTTGCTCAGAACATTGAAAGTCCAGTGTTGGTAAAGTTCTGAGATTTTCATAATTTGCCAACGTTGAAGATTTTTCGTCTCGATCTTCTTCGTTATTGAAGATGAAGATGTTTGACTTAATTCAATCGAGTAGCCAATAATTAGAAAACTAAATGAATATTTATTTCTTCAATATTGGTAGTTTTCCCGCAATTTTGAATCAAATGCTATGTATTAAAAAATCGTAAACTCTGTTTGACTAAGAACTGCTCTACATTTTTAATACTTCCAAACGTTTTATTCGAATAGAAGATATCGCACTGGTAACCAGTACTTTCTTTAAATAAGTCTACATCTACATCAATTACATTGGTAAACCCTTCTGTTAGAGAATGTTTTCTGTTAAAACGACCATGTATTTATGATTGCGTGATTGGGGTGAGAGATTAGATTTTATGAAGTTAGATGGTACGTGTCCTAAAGATGATAGGAGAGGTGTGTACAATGAGAGAAGAAGTCGTTTTTGAGGACTCCGAGAAAAAACTGCCATCATCGATTTGTCCGTCATCGCTTTATATCTTACGATGTGATGGATGTTAGATTAACCAGTGAAGACATCAGACTCCTATGCAGTCGATAGCTCCGGTATGGACCCTCTACGTTAATCTCTTGAAAAGGCCCGAATTCCTGCGATATAGTACAAGAAATGTCTCGGGGTCGAAAGGCCTGCGTGATGTTCTCGCTGTGAAAGACCAGTCATTTCATGTTCATATAATTGTAATTATAAATTATGGAATATTTAGAAAAGGATTAAAGACACTTTCCTCATAATTTTGGAATTCATTAACACTAGCTTTCCAACGAACATAACAAACATTCATTAACGTGGATGATTTCTGCTAGAGGTATGACTAGAGGCGTGACATTATTCAAACGAATACAGAATATAGAATTGAATTTTCCACTTTATTCAACGTATTCCTATACTACTGTAGTATTGCTCTTTTTTCTATTAGGGGGAGCCCTCGTGGCCTGACGTGAGTGTACGCCAATGGCCGCTTTTCGCCAATGATGGCATGGAAGAGACCGCCAATCAATGCCCCCTTCAGCTGACAGGCGCTCTCTTGATTATAAGATGTGTTCGCCAATCGTTGCTCAATGGTCTCAGGTATAAAAAAGTTTAGTCGCGTTGGCACGTGTAAGATAAACTCAATTTGCGGGAGAATTAACCGTTAAGTGCTATCGTGGATATATTGTTTTTTTCTTAATAAGCATCAGCAACTCTGCAGTGACATCTTCACAATTTGAAGCCTCTAATTTGATATCGGTATTCTCCTATCCTTATATTGCATTTGAAACAATTCAAATTCTTTTATAAACTTTATATTTTAAAAATTGAGAAAATAAATTCACGGAAATTGAATTTTACTAAGAATTAATTACAAAACGTCAATAATTGTATGTAATATGAGACGTATTGGGGATGCTAGGCATTCCCAAGTGACTACAAATGGCTCGAAGCGACACGGAACTCAGAAGAGTTAAGTGGAAGTCCACATTGTTTCCTGGCACGTGCTTTCTTGAGGATTAAATCAAAGAACAAAGTGCCTACCCAAGAAACGAGTTGCAGTGACTACCTTGAAGGCTCTTCAAAAAAGGCAATCACGAGAATTCAGAAATTGTGTTTTTACACTAAATTATCTCCCTTAAATTATGGGTACCATGAGCACATGTTTTGAGAACGAACTTCATTTAATGCGCCGTTGAAAGCGAATGATCAATGTTTTTGGAACGGACCGCTTAGCCAGTCCTCTTGGATCGCCGTCCCTGCTGTTGCGTGCAAGGTCATGGCTGCGTGTGAGAGAGTGGGGTATTGGGAGTTGCGTGGGGCATGCTGCTGGTAGGATTTCGTAGCACAATGCCCGCGTGGGCATGGTTCTACTAGGCGACGCTGGGCGCGCTTGCGCTTATAATTCTATTGACTAAGCTGACAACATTCGACTCTCTCATCAGATTTCAATAATTAGTTTTATTAGCTCGATATATTTTTAAAACGTATTCCATGTCCGTTTGCACAATGCTTCTATTATCGGGTAGACATTATTTGAGAGAGTGATTTGTTCGCAAATAGGTCTCACAGTGTACGCAATAGTTTACCCTCGTTCAAACAATATTCTGGAGGGACAAAGGGATTTCGTTTGTTTGGGCCGCCACAGGTAAGCTGTCAGTGACGGAACTCACGAGGCGGGCAAGGCAGAAGCGTCAACCAAGAGGAAGCTCTTGTCGGCAGTAGCGCGATCCTTGGCCTGCTCACCCTTGCGCTCCAAGAGAAATCTTACTCCTTAACGCGACTCAGGCTCCGGCACTAAAGAACTCCCGCCTGCTCCATTATGTTACGTGCTTGCGGACGTTTATAGGCGTTATTTTTGTCGTGGCCATTAAAGGAGCATTTAACGCGACGCGTTACGTTAAACCTCTTCCTTGCAGGGATGCCCGTGTTCTACAAAGAAGTTGTTGTTCGCGTGAAATGACTGGAGTGAGTGGTGTACCGAACTTCCCTTCATTCGCATTGGCTAAAATGCCCTTTAATTTAAAATTAAATTTTTACGATGCGTTCTTAAGCTGAAAGAAAAATATTAGTCTTGATATACTGCTTTTTTCTCAGTACTGTTTCATTGGCAACACATCCCTCTCATAAATTTCATAATATTTCATCATGACATAGATTACGGAAACATTTATTTTTACGTGAAAATAATGGCAGAAGTAAAGAAAGTAAATTCAGTAAGTTGTTAAAAACAAGTATTAATTGCATATAATAATAATAATAATAATAATAATAATAATAATAATAATAATAATAATAATAATAATAAGTAGTAGTAGTAGAAGAAAAAGAAGAAAAATTGAATTGATATTGTCTAATTTTCGGAACTAAAACACTTGACCAAATACTTTCATAATATATCTTTTAATTTACAAATTCTCTTTTTGTTTCAATCTCTTATTGTTTTAATGTCAACTTTAAATTGATTTTTCTTACTCGTCACGCTTATGCGATTTTATGTGACTTTCTAGTGAATCTTTAGAACAAATTTATGATAATAGTTTAAAGGGCATATTTATTTGAAGAAATAAAAGTGTTAAGTCACAAAAGTCATGGCAACACTAGTAATTTTGTGTCTTATTATATTTCAATATGTTGGGAGAGATAACAGTCATGGAACACATAATAGACAGACCCTTAAACTATACTTCGCTTATATACGTTGATATGAAGTTAAAAACGATATATTCCAGAGTTGTATGTAAAATAATAATATCTGGCGTCAAAAAATAATCTAATACTGGACGAACTGTATCCTCTTCAAGAAGTAAATATTATTATCCGAAATATTGTTGTTCCTGCACCAGGCACCGCTTCACATTATGGGGTATTTATATTCTTTTTTGTTTTCAGGTAAGAAATCGAAAGAAATTAGGGTGGCAGCCTTTACGTATATTTATCTACAGCAATTTTCTTCATTTTTTATGCATTTGGTAAGTAGTGAAGACCATTTACTAGATTGAAGTTCTGTAGAGAGGATTGTGTCTTTTCTGTCGAATATGTTAAACATTGAAAATCATTGAATTCATTATTATCAATCGTGGCTGGTACCCTCGAAAATCGGATTCTTTTTACGTATTTTCATGGGTTTTGCGATCTCTTACACACAATTTTAACTCACAACGAACATCACGAATAAATTAATAGACCATCGTACACTATTGCGAAAATGAGGGAGGATAAATTGGGAAAATATTTGTTGTTTACTTGTGTTGTTTGTCTCAGCGCGATCTTTCAGGCTTCAGTAGGAATGGCAACCTGTCCTATTAGATAAGGCCTCTATCCCGATAAGTGTTACGCAGCTCTTCCCTCATTGTTTAAACATCACATATTGGCTCAGACTTGTTGACATACGGTTGAAAAATAGATTGTGTAACCAGATTAGCACGTGTTATTGGTCTAGCAAAAACAATTGATGTTATGTTCACATCAGAAATCACGGGTTCTAGAAATTTACTAGACATGTTTAAAATAAGCGAGTTTGTTTAGTTCGATTTTTACTTGGTCGACTGCTTCGATCAGTCGTTTACATAGCTCTGCTTCCAAGAACCGTGCGCGATCTTTCCATACCATTTTCTTCCCTTTCTAACGACATTCACGTACCCAGACAGGGAATAGTGAGCCATCTTCCCCTTCATTAAAGACACACGCCTGCAGAGAAGAGGCCTATTGGACAATGATTGATAAATATTTGTAATTGATTCATACTGCCACAAAACACCCCCATACCCTCCCCAACGCCCTGTCACCCAGCTCGTTCTCTCTGCCGCATTGCCTCCACCACAAAACAGCACTTCGCCCTCTCCAAGGCCTTGTCACCCAACTCATCTTCCCCTCCGCGTTGCCTCCACCACCACGTCCCCTCCAACGCGACGTCTCCCCCCTCCCCCCACTCTCCTGGCGCGCAGCCCTCGCCGCCGACGCGTCGTTATGACACCAAACACGCCCGGCGCAAATTGCGTTTGTCTAGGCGGCGCCGCGCGCGCCCTCTTCCGTTTAATCGAGGCCTTTTGAGGGCGAGGCGCGCGGGGGCGAAGGGCGAAGGGCGCTGGGCGGGGCCACAACCTCTCGCCCCGCGCCGCAGCGCCGTCGCTTTATTTTCGCTGGGTCGCCGCCGTCGCCGATCGCAGGCGGCGTGGAACGCGTCGCGGTTTTCCTTTGTTTTCGCGACCCTTCCCTCCCCCTTCCGCCCCTCCTCCCCACTCCCTTTCACCTCCGGCCTTTCTCCCTTCCCCGCGCGTCCGCCCTCGTACTTCTCCGTGTTCCTGCCTTGTTGACTGGCGACTCAGGCCTCCAAAGTAATCACTCTGCTAATTCAATTATCGACTCTGCCACTTTGGAGAAGTCGTCGCCGGAATCTAATTCCACCGCCTTCCACTGCCCCGCCCACGCGCCAGCCTCCGCGCCGCGCGCTAACCCTCTTTCCCCTTTGAAGTCCTTGCTTAGCAAAGGAATTCAGCCTCCCTTTCGACAGTTATTGTGTCGCCCTCTTCGTTTTTATACAATGAAACCGCAATGGGAGGCTTCCGCCCCCGCCCTCCGGCCCCCGGGCCGCTCGCGCGCTGGGAATTCCCGGAACTGGAGCACCACAGCGGTGGGCGCAGCAGGAATCCGATTGCGGCCTCACCCTCGCCCTCCTTCCTTCTCTCACCGCTCCATCCCCAATACCTCCCTGCTCCCTCCTTGCTCTCTTCATTCTCCCTCCCCCGTCACCGATACCTTTCGCCCTCCGTCCTTCTCTGCTCTCTGCTCCTCCTCCTCTTTTCCTCCTTCACTACTCCATCCCCAATCCTTCCACAGTTCCTCCTTGCTCTCTTCCCGCTCTCTCCTCGCTCTCAACATTCTACCTCCCTCTGCCTCCGCTCTTTCATCCTCCCTCCTTCCCTGTTCCCTCCTCCTCCTTCCGCCCCTCTCCGCCTCATCTCAATCGTTCCACGTGTCCTCCTCGCTCTCTTCCCTTTCCCACCCACCGCCACTGCTGCCACCCTTCATTATTCCCAGCTATCCCTCCCTCTTTCTCCTCTCCCCACTCTATTCCCTCCCTCTTCACGATATTCTCTCGCTCCATTAACAATCCCTCCACCCTACTTCCTTGTTCTCTCCCTTCTCCATCGCTGTCTTCTTTCTCCCTCTTCCCGACCACGCTCTCTCACAAACTCCTTCATTTTCTCTCCTTCCCTGCTCACTAACTTCGCTCTACCCCACTCCCATCCATTCCTTCCCGCTCCATTTCCAATTACTCCACGCTTTCCCCTGGTTCTGTCCAGACTCGTTACTCGCACTCTTCCTTCCCATTTCCCTCACCGGCACCGCTCCCTCAACCTCCTTCCCCGTTTCTTACTATTTCCCGATCCCTCTCTTTGGTCACTTCTTCTTTCCCGTTCCTTTTTCAGGCCCATCACGAGCTTGCTCACTCTCTCTCTATTCTTCTTCTACCTTCCCCACTCCCTCAGCGATCATTTCATAAACTCTCTCTGCTTTCTCCTTGTTCTCTTCCTGCTCTCCATGCGCTCTTTTTCATCTCCCCCAGCTCCTTCACCGCTCTCCCTCCCGGTTTCTTACCATTTACAGATCCCTCTCTTCTTCCTTACTGCGTCTCTCCGGCTCCCTTTCCAGGTTCGGCTCCCTTTCCCGCTCCCCGCTGCTCACCCGATCGTTTCCAGCTCTCTACCAGACCCCTCTATACTCGCCTCCCTCACCCTCCCATCGCCATTCCCCGCCCCTTCCCTTCGGGTGAGGTTGGGATGGGCAGTTGAAGACGGCGTTACTGTTAGCTCCCTCCCGGCCCCCCCACTTTTCACTTCTATCGGCCTCCGGCTTCTTGCACCACTCTATCCGGCTTCGCTCGCCTTTTTCGCTCCCTTCCGCTCTATCAGTGTTCTTCCATCACCCTCCCTCCCCTCCTCATCTTCCCCACTCGCGTCTGGTCTCTCTATTACTCTCCGCGCTTCCTTCACATTCTCTCGTTGCTTCTCGTCGCTCCTTAACCGTTGCTTCTCAGCTGCACGATTACAATACAGCTGTCTGAATAATTTAGTGATAATTCCCAGCAATGGTGGGCAAACTAGACAAGGTTTCCTGTGCTTGGCAAATGGGTAAGTTCAGAGACAGTTAACCTCTGATTCTAGCTGGGACCAGAATAAAAATATATCGTACTACGAAATCCGCAATGCCTTAGAGAACGCCCAAGGGTCACACACGATTCTTTCTGTCATTTGGGCTTATCCTACAAATCATCAATCAACGTTGATTTGAAAGTACGTAGTTGGAAAGTTTAAAACAAAAAGTTTGGGAAATTATACATTCCTATCTTTTGTCATGTGTTTTTTGTTATTGACTTGAAATACATTGATGTCAGAACTAATGTTTTATTATTGTTTTTAAATTGATACTAAAGAAAAAAGCTATATGACCATCTACACGTTAACTTACGGGACATCAATTAAAAAGGATGAGAGCGAGAGCGATGGCAGGTGAGGCGGCGGCAGGGCGAGGGCAAATGTGATGGGGAGGACAAAAACAACACGAGGGTGAAGATGACGTCAAGGACTAAGATGGAGGCAAAGATGAAGGCTTGGATAGCGACCGATGGGGGTCGGTAAGAGCAAGGGAAGTCGCTGGGGCGAAGGGGTTGTTGAGGACGAGGGAGACAGTGAAGAGGGAGGGGGAAGACAAATGTGGTGACTCATAAAGTAAATCTGAAGAAACTAATAGCATTACCAGAGCAAAGGTTGAGGTGGGTGACAAGGCGTTGGAGAGGGCGTGGTTATGTTTTATAGTAATGGAGGTTTAAAACAAAAAACGATTGATTGGTGTTTCCGCGCGCGCCAAGTGTTAAGGTCATTATATCGTGTGTGTGTGTGTGTGTATGTGTGTGTTTTTATCGCGGGAAGAGGGGGTGATCTTCTTCCGTTGGATGGCGAATCTGGCGCTGACTACGATGGCTACTGGGTTTCCCAAACTAGTTATCTCCTACCGGGAAGGCACCGCCAACGCCGTGTCAAGTTCTAAGCCCCCAACTGGTTGCCCGACATGTCAGGTGGTGTAGTACTCGTAAGTTTAAGTCATCAGTAAGTAAGGAGTGAGGATAGCAGAATAGAACGAGGAAGAGGAAGGAAAAATCGCGCGCGCTTCTTGACCCGTTTGTTATGGTACTGCTCCGGCATTCGTCTGGTGTTAATCGCAGAAATCAAGGAATGTTACCCAAGAAAAACTTCGATAAAGGCGACTGACCGCTGGAATTCTCTTCCAGGCTGGATTCGACCTAGCTATATAACTAAAGTTGAAAATATTGCCATCGTCGCGACTCGAAATCCAGGACTTCTTGGTCAGTGATACTAAATTGACATCAGTTGATGTAACTGATGCAAGATGTAGAATGCAACTATGTTATTGGCAATGGATGGAGTGGAGGGAATATACGCTACTCATACATTAAGCCAAGAATAAAATAATAGCATCACCCTCAGTGATTAAATGTGTCGGTGTAAAGGACTTTTAATCAGAAAAAGGACATTAATCGCGCAGCAACATCCTCCATCATGTTCAATGTAATGCACAGAGTATGCATTGTGCGACTGCAAGTGTGTGGTCAAAGGAAAGCGGACACCGAAGGCGTGTGCTAGAAGCATGGTGAAGGGGTTGGGGAGATTGAGGACGAGGACGAGATGGAGGCAGGACGGCTTCGGCTGTGATCACCGAAGAGCTGCTAGCAGGAGCCTTTTCCATTTGGGCTGTGTCGGGTCGGCTAGTCGCAGGGCGCGTATGTGATTGAGGGACAGGAAGAGAACGGTCTAACTGCTGAGCTTCCAACCCCCTGCTCTGTCCACGAATGAGAGTGCCTTTCAAACAAGGAACAACTTGGAAGCCCACTCCCAATACGATGTCGATAATGACGGCTGGAAGAGAACAGTAGTTAGAATGCCATCTGTTAGGATTCACTTTCGGAAATCTTTTGAGCACGGGAAAGAGGGACGAAGGGAATGCGGGAAGAGATTAATGCAATTCGAAAGACGAAGGGGTTACCAATTCAAGAGAGCAGATAATCAATTTTAATAAAATATTATGATATTTTGCAATTTCATTTTCTATTTCTATCGATACGTTCTTACCTTTTATTAACAAATAATTTGAATCCAAAGTCGAAACTGTACATTATGATGCATAGAAGAAACTATAATGTATTTTAATCATAATTCTAAACAAAACTGAAATAAGCCTATTAGCATTACCGGGAGACGCGAAATGCGCCGGCGAAATCACAATGAGATTTTTAAACGCAATTACATGAAACAGGAAGCAACATCTGCGCCGTTTCCAAAGCAAAATTCGAAGAGTACGTATTGTGTGGCTGCTGGGGTGCTTGGCCACGGCTCACG